AGAGCAGCACCAAGGAGGAGAGAAAAAGAAGAGAAAGAGGAGAGAAAAGAGGAGAGAGAAGAGAAGAGAGAGGAGGAGAGTGTAGGAGAGAAGAGGGAGAGCCAGGTACACATTTCTTAGGGCACCACACCCATCACTGTTCTCAAGATTCACTTTGCAATCTGCAGGAGAAGCAGGTGTGGAGACTGGGGTCAGACAGGAGAATGTTGCCTCCTGTGAGTAGCCTCTCCTGATCTTCTTGTTTGTATCCCAGCCTGTTTATATTCCAGACCAAACAAAAGAAAACAAATGTAAACAATTCTAGCCCTTAAATTGATGCTTCACTTTCATCATTGTTACTGTGAACATTACCTTTTGGAGAAGTGGGAAAGAAATAGTCTAATCATAGAAGGTCAAATAAGAAAGAGACGTAAATCTCCTCTAGTCCAACACTCTTCTAATTAATGAAGGGAAAACACAGGCTTCGTAGCATGGCAGAAATTAAGGGCAGGCTTTAAAAACAAAGATGTAGCCAGTTTCCTCAGAGTCAATCAAGATTGATCTGGAAGAGGAGAGGTTCCATACCTGTTGAGAGCTGATGTTTATAGGTTGTTTTAAAATAATCCAAGTGACACTCTCGAGAAGAGGTGGAACTGTAAGAGAACCAGGATATGTCCAGTAGTCCCGGGATGGTGGAATTAGAGATAATGGGTCAAAATTTGTGAATCGGGTTTGTTTACCCTGGGGGAACAAAGAGAATTTCCACAAATTAAAATGTGGATAGCTTTACACACCTCAAAACACATACATCCAATAAAATAATATGGAATTAGGTAATATCCTCCTTTAGTATCTAAAAGAAGTATTTATCTACCCCTTAAAGATTTTAGGCAAAGTAGAACATGATTCAGATTTATTCAAGAAGCAAGAGATTTGGTTTAATGTAAGTGGTCTTTAAAATGTTTTACAATTAAGGATTTAATTATGCATAGATTTATTAGTGATTTTTTTTTTTCTTTTTAAAGACTAAGTCACTCTCGGTACAGTGCCATGGCATCATAGCTCACAGCATCCTCAAACTCTTGGGCTTAAGCAGTTCTCTTGCCTCAGCCTCCCAGGTAACTGGGACTATAGGCATCCACCACAACGCCCAGCTATTTTTTTGTTGTAGTTGTCATTGTTGTTTAGCAGGGCCAGGCCGGGTTCAAACCTGCCAGCCCTGGTGTATGTGGCCAGCACCCTAACCACTGAGCTACAGGTGCTAAGTGTGTGATTACTTTAGATATTTTAAAAACCTTTCATAATTTTGAAAAGACAAGAGATAATAAGTTACGTCTGCTTTTTTGGTCAAGAATATTGCAAACTTGCTTCAAAATAAGCAGCATATGCTATGTCTAAGGTCTAAGCCCCCAAAAGAAAGATAAGACAATTCAGGAGAGAACAAAGAAATATGTCAATCATTTGAAAATAATAATAAATTTTACCTTTTCTTTAATGGCATCCAAAATGTCAGTAATCTTTTGCAGTTGGGAATTATGTTCACCAATCTAAAAACATGAAATTTTAAAAGAAATGTTTACAGTGCTAGATCAAGTCCAAGTCACTCCATTTCAGTCACTATTTTTAAAAACCTAAGCCAGCACAGAACATACAGTGACTGTTCCAAAACAAAGCTTCTCTTTTACCTGCTGGCCTTATCATGCCAGAAGAATCAGAACAACAAGATAATATTACAAGGTTTCTGTACTGAACTTTCAGAACAGTTCTAAAACTGGTAGTAACCGCTTCACATTTTTTGAGCTTTATGAAAGTTTAAGAAATAGGTTAACTTGAGAGAAACTTGATTAGGGCACACTAACAGAATATCGGCACAATGAAGCCATCTGTGGCATTCAGATCCTAGATCCAATCTGACTGGGATGACATCAAAATGCGAAATGAAAACATTTCCTCCTTGCAGTCTAAATGATTTGAGGTCTCATTAGGGGTGTTCTCTATGTATCTAAAGGTTTTAAACCCTTCAGGATGAAGGTGCAGTTTGTTGCCACACCTGAATCCTGCCGCCACCATCAGACTTGGTGGGCAAAGGCAAAGAACTGCTGCCATCCACGACTCTCTGCGCGCTCCCCTCACCTCAGCTCTGCAAGTAACCACCTCACATGCAGAGAATGTGGTGTGGCAACAGTGCACACCCTGCAAGAATGCAGTGGCAGTAGGAGTTGACAGCCCCAGCCTGTCCCAGGTATGATGACAATACTTGTCTGACCACATGTGAATATTAGACAAAGGAAAATACAACGAGTTTGTTTTTAAATTGGTCAGTATATCAAGAACAGCATGTCATTGTGGTCAGACAAGGGCCTTAAGAATCAGGAACTTGAACTTTATTCAGTCCTACAGCTCTAAACAGTGTGTAATCCGGAACAGCCCAGAATAAACTTTCTTTTCAGGGACTCACCTGTTATTTCTGCTGCTATTTCAAAAGGAAAAATAAACATAGAATTAGTTTACTATTTAAAAATAGTGGAATGTCTAGTGCAAAGCAGACAGCAAACCTTTAATAAATATTAAAGAAAGGTTGCTTTCTTAAAAAATAAACATAAAAATAGTGGAATGTCTTCTCCAGGACTGAAACTCTCTATCCCACTTGGCTGATTATGAAATCAATGGACTCTCACCTGTAAAAACACTCCCAAGACAGCTAGTCCATCTGGCTCATGAGCTGCCTCGACAAAGCTGGGGTATTTGTCTGAATTCCAATGGACGACATGGAGCTGAAAGGGAGATACACAAGATGGCTTCAATGTTTCTTTAAACATCTTGAAAACCATAAATGCAAATAAAACATTTATGCTGATGTTCAGGTACTGTGCATTCATACAGATACGTATAATGCATTCTTCACAAGAACCTCAGACAGAATCTTCCTATTCACTTTTGTCCAAAACCTAAACAGTAACCAAGTCTGTTGGGCACTATCTTAAAAACTATTTAGAATGCCCTGAGGGTCCTTCCCAGCCCTGCTGGCCCAAACAAACTCCCACCATTGCTCCCAAGTAACATGGGGCTCATCTGTGTCTCCCATAGTTGAGACCACAGTGGAGCAGCCTAACATCAGATCTCAAAGGGCACCAGAGTCCACTGAAAGGGCTTTAGTTCACAGCTGGGTAGAGAGGTCAACCTCTTGCATGATAGGTCTCAGCCACAATCCCACTGCCAAGGACACTGTGGCCGTTCCTGACACTGTCTAGTTAGATATTTATCACTACAGTTAAAAATCTGTTATGGCTTGAAAACGCAAATTCTCCCCATGAGTAACTATTTTAAGCAGTGTTCACACTGTTTTATCATTAAGACTAGTTTTAATAGCCATATCATAATTGAATACATTTATGGGACATAATGTAATGCTTTAATATATGTTTACAAAGTGGAATGATTCAAAAACTAATTAACATAGCCATCACCTCACTTGCCTATCAGTTTTTTATACTTTGATTACCTTCTATGACTATGTTCAGATCCTTTTTGAAGAGCAAGTTCTAATGAGGAAAAAGAGAATTTGGGGTCTAGAGACCAGAACATCTGAGGAAGACCTGAACACCTGCATAGGGGGCAATTGATGTTACGGAGGAGGGGTAAAAGGAAAGAAGGAAAGAGTTGGAGGGACTTGGAATTCTAGAAAACATACTTTACCTACTTCTCAAGTCTATCTACATGCCAGGATCCTTAAGCAAAACCCAGAAGTGTTCTAAATATCCTGCCATTGTAAACAATGCAGGACCCTAAACACATAAACGAATGTAAAGACAATAACAAAAAAGGGAAGCCGAAAACCACTTTTGGAGAATCTTTGGTCCTGGTTAAGGGAAGAACCAACAGAGATAGAAACCAAAGGGCACTGTGACACACCCAAAGGATTTATTTATGATCATGAGCAGTGAAGGCCAGGCCATGCTGTCCAAGGCCCTGATATGAGCGACCAACTTCAGATAAGATCTTCTTCTAATGAATCCCCTTGGCACATCAGCAATGAAATGGGGCCTCCACTCCCCAATCACCCTTTCAGCTGACTGTTACAGAGAGAATTTAGTATATTCAAACTTGAGCTTTTTTTTTTTTTTTTTTTTGAGACAGAGCCTCAAGCTTTCCCCTGGGTAGAGTGCCATGGCATCACAGCTCACAGCAACCTCCAACTCCTGGGCTCAAGCGAGTCTCCTGCCTCAGCCTCCCAAGTAGCTGGGACCACAGGCGCCCACCACAACGCCCGGCTATTTTTTGGTTGCAGCCATCATTGTTTGGCGGGTCCGGGCTGGGGATTTGAACCCGCCACCTTAGGTGTACGTGACTGGCGCCTTAGCCGGTTGAGCTATAGGCGCCGAGCCCAAACTTGAGCTTTTAATCTCATCCTTTAAATATACTCTACCAGGCAACTAATATGAGAGGATTTCTGGATAGATAAGAATAACCATAAACAGTCAACTATAAAACCATAAAACAGTACACTGTCTACAATAAATCAAGGAAGCTTGTGAGATATCCAGACAGAAAAGATAAAAGCAGATTCCCATAGAGCCAGGTTCCAAGGTGGTGTGAGATAGCTGGAGAAGGAAAGAACCCTGAAAACAGTGGGTGATGAAACAATTCATCAGGCTCACATGAGACGGATGACGTTACACTGTCCGGGAAGGGCTGATAAGGGTTGATAAGGGTGTTCAAGTTGTTTTAAGTGGCCCTGTGCCAATGCATCAGCTCACGTAGTAAAAGATGACAAAAAAGAGATAGAAAGATGTGAAGTGACTCCTTTTAGGGTCACAACCACAATCACAATAAGTTAGAAAATCAATGTGTTAAATAAAGAGTGTGGCCATCTTCTGCTAGTTAAAAAATATAATGAGTATTTAAAATATGAGAGGGAAGTACAACATGAAAGTATTTCTGTTTTTCTAACAAGTCCTCCTCTCTCCCAGATACCTTGCTTCACTGGCAGCAATACCTTCACAGAGGAACTGATATCATTTTTATTAGCATTTGCATTTGAATGACTACTTAAAAAAACAAAATTGCAAACTCACATTTCCTGCCCAACAACAGTAGTGATTTGAAGCTGAGTAACAAGAAGTTGTAGCCACTGCAAAGGTGGAAATTATAAGATTCTTTTCTGCTGGAAAATAATTTCTAAATAATAATTTTATGCAACTTTTGAGTTTTAAACTCCATATTAGTGGTACGTAAACTATTCTGCCAAGCACTGTGCCAAAAACCCACTATGCCTGCTAAAATCACAGTTTCATGGTTAACTACAGATTTAAAGTGCTTGTTATATATTCTGTACAAACTGTGATCAGATAAAGTCCAAACATAGAGTAGATGATTAGCCCAGTTTTTTTAGATGCATAACTTTGGGGATACAATTTTTCATGATTTAGATTACTTTGATTTATGTCTGTAATGTCACAAATCACATTAGGCCCAAAATAAAATTTTCATATTATGCAGCTTTAAATGATTTTTTTTCTTCCTCTTGTTTATTTTCTTTTTAAAAATTTTATAAGGAATGTGAAAACCCCACACTATACCCCAGAAGTGCATTAATGTACATAGTTACCATTCAATTAAAAAATAAATAAATAAATAAAATTTTATAAGGAAACATAAGTTGGTGATAATCATAATCTCACCACAAAAGTGGTTGGAAAAACCCATTTTAGAGCTGAGCACAAAGGGATTCTTTTGAAACTGAAACCTAATACAAATGCCTCCCGAATGACACTGTCTCCAGCCCTGACCTCTACTTTAAACTCCAGGTTTGTATCCAACAGCCTACTTAACATGAGCCTAGAATGCCTCCCAGGCACCTCAAAGTTAACGCGTCTGAAACAGAAAGTCAGCTCCCCTTTGCAACCTGCTCCTTCCTGGGCTCTCGCATCTCAGTAAATAGTACCATCGGCCTCCCGCTCGCTCAAGACAAAGCCTTAAGAGTGTTTCTGGGATCCTCTGTTTTCTTCCTTCAGTTTCAACATCCTTTTTATCCACAAGTCCCACTGACTTTACCTCTCTAATGTATCAAGGATCTTTCCAGCTCTCCTCCTCTCCATGACCCCCACAGTCAAAATTACCATCATTGCTCACTTCAACTCTTCCATAATCTTTTAATTTATCTCCCTGTTTCAACATTTGCCCAACGTCCCCCTGTCCACACAGCAGCCAGGTATATCTTACAAAATATAGAGCAGAGAATATCATTCCCCTGCACAAAACCTTCTAATACAGTGGTTCTCAACCTTCCTAATCCTGCAGCCCTTTACTACAGTTCCTGTGGGTCATGGTCCGCAGGTTGAGAACCGCTGTTCTAATGCTTTCTTCCTACTACATTAACCCCCCAAGTGCTCACCCTGCCTAACAGCGCTCAGCGTGGTGTAGCCTCTGCCTGCCTCTGAGACACAGCCTGTGACTTTCCCTTTCTCTTTAATGCCAATGCTATAGGCCAATGTCTTCCTCTTCTTCAACATGCCAACCTCATTCCCACCTCAGAGCATTTGTACGTGCTGTCCCCACTTCCTGAAACATTCTCTAGATTTTCTCATCGTGCTCCCTTCCTATTATCCAGTCTCAATTCTGTTGTCATCGCAAAAAGGCCCTTCCTAACCACTCAAGTCACTCGACCAGATCACACGGCATTATTCTCATCAAAGAATTCACCACAAACCTTGTGTTTGTTGATTGTACACATCTCCCACCCCGACACCCCTGAGGTTTGACTCAGGCTTTCTTTTTCTCTATCATCATTCCCATTTCGAAACCAGAAACATGGACTCCTGCCCTTGCTCACTTTCAGACCTAACGGATCAACAAACCCTCTGGAGCTGCCACTTCCAGCCAGAAAGCCCTCCACCTGCACCATCCAGGGCTGTGCAACCTATTTTCTTTTCTGCCACACGCTGGAAGAATAAGAGTTGCCTTGGGTGACACATTAAGTACACAGACACCAAGGAAAACTAATGAACACAAAGGTGCACTGCATACTTTTTGCGACATCCAACACCACAGATAAGCAAAAAAAGTCCTCATAAAATCAGCACGGGACACCCCTGATCACCTGGGACTTCCTCAAAAGCTCTGCTTAGCCACCCCTGCTGCAATCCAATCTATTCTCAAACTGGAGCTTGAATGGTATTTTTGAAATGCACATATGACCACTTTCCAGCTCAAAACCATTTGATGGTCTCCTATTGCACTTAGAATCCTTCATAATTCTTACCAAGTCTTACCTCAGCAACACCCAGGCACTTCTCAACCTCTGACAACATTCCCCTTTGTTCTCCAGGCTCTGATCACACAGGCCATTCAGTTCCTCAAACATGTGAGGCTCCTTACCAACCCAAGTCCTCATACAGGATTCTTTGCAAAACCACTGCTGGCTCCCTTCCCTCCATCCTTCAGATTGCCTGTTAAAGGCCTCTTAAAGGGAAGTATTCTCAGACCCCACGTGTGGGTGAGGCTGCATGTTTCCATGCATCCCTTCAGGATAAGATTGAGGATGTGGTTGGCTCGCAATGAATACTTACAGAGTGTATGAATGAACGAATATATGAAGCAGTGAAACAACCAACAGCCTTAGATGCATGTTAAAAAACAGTATAAAATTCAAGTCAAATCTTTATCCACAAGGCCTTATCTACAAAGACAGCCCATCAGGTCAGGACTCTTGAGCCTCTGATGTCTAGCAGGATATAAGGACCCTTTCAAGAAACTACTTGCCAACTGTCAATAAACCTCTCTGAGAACACACATACATACAGTATGTCAAGTTTACGAAAGTGCAAGGTGTACCCACTAAGCAATGTGATCAATTTCCCGAGATGCAAAGAAAAATTAGAGACCAGAGATCCAAAGCAGCCAACAACTCATCTCCAGGGTACTTTAGGACAATCTGTTCAATTTAGAACATAAACTTTAGAAACCAAACATGAAAACTATCCAGCATACACCTAAACTGAGACATCCTACAGTATCAGGAGGCTCCCACTTTCTCCATTCTTAGTATCTTTTGTCCATCACCATAGAACATTGTGTGTGTACGTTTTAATCCTCTGCCCTTAGGACATAGGCACTTGCTTTTAATGGAAGTGAGTTCGTTGGCGAAACATTTTGGATGACAGCCTCAAATAGCAGATGCACATGGTAATGGAAGAGTGAAATTGTAAGAAAGTTGTTGGCTGGATCTCTCTGAACGGCAAAGCACTACCGGGACATCCGAACCACATTCAGTAACCACGAGAACATGAAGAAAAACTGTGTCTGCCTGGTAACATTGCTCTGTCTTGCCTGAGTGAGTCACAAGCTGAATTATTTCCACTTGAATAGCTGATTAAGTCATACAATAATTCACTTTCTTCTCCAGGTAAAGTTGGGTGTGAGTAATATTTAATCATATTAAAACTTGAAGCATATTACACTTTGCTCTTTAGCCAGAGGATTAGAAAAAGTAGAGTATTATTAATGAATATAATTATAAAGAAAAAGGAACCCAAGTCAATGAATGCTTTATTGTGTTATGCTTTACCAATGACGTGAATAATTAACAGAGAGTCTATTTTATCCCTGTAAATGTAGAGGGAAGGTAGAGTTTAGGAGAGTTTGTACCTTTATATTTCTTTTCCTAAGTGGAATTTTACCAATTGCTTTCACCTATTAATGTATATTTGTACCTGGCCCAAATATGAACACAGATGGATTGAAAACAAATGTTTCTTTTTCTCCCTTCTTGCTGGCCTTTCAGGAGAGACAACAGATATGTAGAAAGAATTTGTCATCTGATAGCAGATAGAGCTGGATTTGAACCTTCCCGGTGCTTGCTAGGTGAATAAATTACTCAAAACTCTTTAATGTCCAGTTTACCTATTTCTAAAATCCAAACATATAATCCTAAACTCTCAGGGTTGGTTTAATGCTTAAAAGGGCAATATTGCAAACTTTCATATTAAAAAAATAAAGCGGTTTCAGACACTGGGATACCTAATTGACTTGGGATGTATTTGGGGTCAAGAGTGTTGTTCCCTAAATCCCCTTTAGTCTCACCACACAGGAAAACTCTGAATCAGAGATGTGTCCAATATACTTACCTCTGCAGGGTATTTCACTCCATCCACCACGTGCTCAGAGCCATGGTCATCAGTGGACCCCCAGTGAAGGTGAAACTGTCGCAACCTGTAGCTTCCAGCCAGAGGGCCCCCACGTAGAACTAAACACCAACACATTATAAATTGTTTGGAAGAAAAAAATACTAACACATGCTGTCGCAACAAAAAGACAATAATTTGTCTAAGGCACACTTCTTCTTCATACTGTAGGTTATGCAGGGATGTCCAGCCTTTTCTTTTCTCTGCCACACATTGGAAAACTAAGAGTCGTCTTGGGCCACCCATTAAATACACAAACACTAACAAAAACTGATTAGCAAATAGAAGGTCCCTGCATACTTTCTGTGGAGACCTGACACCACGGATAAGCAAATAAAGCCCTTACAAATTTATGCGCAGGTTGGACACCCTTGTGTGTAGAAGGAAAGCTCCAGACTGCCATTTGTAGCTGAACTCGTTTCTTCCTTACTCCTTTTGACTCAGATGAAGCTGAATAGCTGATTAAGAGTTGCTGCCGTGAATCAGCAGACTTGGGTACAAACCCAGTTTAGCCATTAAATTATGTGATCTTTCTGGCTCAGCACCTGTGGCTCAAGCAGCTAAGGCGTCAGCCACATATAAGGTGGTGGGTTTGAATCCAGCCCAGGCCCGCCAAACAACAATGACGGCTGCAACCAAAATAATAGCCGGGCATTGTGGTGGGCACCTGTGGTCCCAGCTACTTGGGAGGCTGAGGCAGGAGACTGGCTTGAGCCCAGGAGTTGGAGGTTGCTGTGAGCTGTGATGCCACAGCACTCTACCCAGGAGGACAGCTTGAGGCTCTGTCTCAAAAAAAAAAAAAAAAAAATTATGCGATCTTTCAAAAAGTCACTTAAGCCACTCTGCTTTAAAGGGCTTCCACTTCCGTTTCTGTGTCTGTGTTTGTCTGTCTATTCTTAATTAGGATATTGGGCTAGATGATCCTTAACTTCAAAAATTCTCAAAACTGCCATGGAAAAAGTTGTGAGAATATATAATAAAAAGTTTTTGGAAATTGAATGGTTGGGGTCTGCTTCAGATTTATTTAGAACCAGATTTCATTACAATAAGTAAAGACCTAATAGCTATTTCTAAAGCACTCTATAAAATGGAAGAGAAAAGAGAGCCATTTAGATCAAACACTACAGCTTACTCGTTTGCTACTCTGTTAAAAATCCTATAATTTTACAGTTTCTTATCCCACTGGACAATGTTCATGAGAGCAAAGACTGTTTGAGATGTACAATAAATATATGATGAATGAACAAATCAAATGAGACAAATATTTGATTTGTCTTTTTTTTTTTTTCAGAGACAGGGTCGCACTTTATCGCCCTTGGTAGAGTGCCGTGAAGTCACAGTTCACAGCAACCTCCAGCTCCTGGGCTTAGGCAATTCTCTTGCCTCAGCCTCCTGAGTAGCTGGGACTACAGACACCTGCCACAAAACCCGGCTAGTTTTTCTATTTTTAGTAGAGACGAGGTCTTACTCATACTCAGGCTGGTCTTGAACTCCTAAGCTCAAGCAACCCACCCTCCTCGGCCTCCCAGAATGATAGGATTCCAGGCGTGAGCCAGTTCTCCCAGCCAGATATAAACCCCTTTAAGACACTGTCTTGGGCACCTCTATTTCCAGTGTCTAGCACAGTGACTGGATTGATTAATATCACTAAGACAAAATAAAGGACCTCACCTGGAAAAGTACTCCTCCACACACTTTAGTTACCTGGGAATGTTACCTGGGAATCACTTAAGAGTATATTATTAGGGGCGGTGCCTGTGGCTCAATGAGTAGGGCGCCAGCCCCATATACTGAGGGTGGTGGGTTCAAACCTGGCCCCAGCCAAACTGCAACAAAAAAATAGCCAGGTGTTGTGGCAGGCGCCTGTAGTCCCAGCTACTCGGGAGGCTGAGGCAAGAGAATCGCCTGAGCCCAGGAGTTGGAGGTTGCTGTGAGCTGTGTGACACCATGGCCCTCAACCAAGGGCAATAAAGTAAGACTCTGTTTCTATAAAATAAAAGAGTATATTCTTAGGACTAGGAAATCTGATGAAAGCCATGGCTTAAGCACTGTATGGTAAACTGGTTCTCTGACATAAAGTTGAATGAACAGCACACCTGCCGTTCGCATGAAATCCAGGGAAAGAAAGACTGAAGAGCACAAACCTGCTGGGATCATATCACCAGCGAAAAAGAAAGAGATGCAAGGACGTGGGCACTCCCAGTCCCTGGACCCAGGAGAGACTGCCTTCTATCTACTAATTTGGCTCAGAGTAAATCCACATCAAGCTACTTTCTGCTCATTCATTCATTCAGCAATTCTTAAGAGTGTACGTTGGGACAGAAACTATTCAGTGCTATGTATGCAGTGAGGAGCAAGTTGTCCTCCACAAGAAACTTAGTCTAGCGAAGGAAACAGATAATCATACTAAAGTTTTAAATACCTAATTATCATATTGGTGTAGATTATCAATTCATTTTCCTGGATATCTTGGCTCTTGGGGGGATTACACACCTAAGGTATGCCCATACCCTTTATCTTTTTATGTTTATTTTTGGTTTTTTAAATTTAAGATCTTGTGAATTTGCATGACTTCAGGCAGTTGCCTGGAACTAGATAATAAGATCATAAGGATAACTAAGAAATTGACAATTTCTAGAAATGAAAATTAACAAACATGAGTGAACCCATGAAATTAGTGCTGTCCCTCGTAGGACTTCACAGCAAGAAGACAACTTTCTTCCTTTTGACATCTTTTAAAAATTACAGACTAGGGCTGGGTTGGTAGTTCACACCTGTAATCCCAGCACTGTAGGAGGCCAAGACAGGTGGATTGCTAGAGCTCAGGAGTTCCAGACCAGCCTGAGCCAGAGTGAGACCCCATCTCTAAAAATAGCCAGGTGCTGTGGTAGGCACCTGTAGTCCCAGCTACTCAGGAGGCTGAGGCAAGAGAATCGCTTGAGCCCAACAGTTTGAGGCTATTGTAAGCTATGATGCCACAGCAGTCTACCCAAGGTGACCCAAAAAAAATTTTTTTTTCAGCCTGGGCACAGTGTAATCTTAGCACTCTGGGAGGCAGAGACTGTGAATTGTCTGAGCTCAGGAGCTCCAGACCAGCCTGAGCCAGTGTGAGACCCCATCTCTAAAAATAGCCAGGTGTAAGAAAAATCACACTATAACAAAGATATTTGTACCAGAATGTTTATTGCAGCCCAATTCATAATTGCTAAGTCATGGAAGAAGCCCAAGGGCCCATCAACCCATGAGTGGATTAATAAATTGTGGTATATGTACACTGTCGTGGAATATTATGCAGCCTTAAAAAAGATGGAGACTTTACTTCTTTCATGTTTACATGGATGGAGTTGGAACATATTCTTCTTAGCAAAGTAACTCAAGAATGGAAGAAAAAAATATCCAATATACTCAGCTCTACTATGAAACTAATTTATAGTTCATAGCTAATTCTTAGCTTTCACATGAAAGCTATAATCCAATTATAGCCCAAGAATATGGGGAAAAGGGAAAGGGAGGGAAGGGGAGGGGGGAGGATGGCTGGAGGAAGGGTAATTGGTGGGATCACACCTATGGCACATCTTACAAGGGTATATGTGAAACTTACTAAATATAGAATATAAATGTCTTAACACAATAACTAAGAAAATGCCATGAAGGCTATGTTAACCAGTTTGATGAAAATATTTCAAATTGTATATAAAACC